ACCTCCTGGCCGCATCTTGGGCTCCTCCAAGGTCGTGTCGAGCCTGAAACAGCAGGATCCCGAGGCCCACCAGGATCAAGGCAGCCACGCCCATGCGGATGAGATTCCCCAGTGTGTAGTCCTGGGGGCGTGAGCCTAGGGATTGTGCACAGAGAGGCCACTGAGGTCAGAGCAGATCAGAATCCCCCCACAGTCCTGGATGTCCACCCAGGGCACCCGCCTCCCTTTCCAGGACGTGACCCTCGGAGCCCAGCCCCGTAGCTGAGAATTTCTCTGCTCACCACTTGTGGGGTCTGACGTGTTTTGTGATGGGTGGGTGGTGTCAGCTGCTCCTGAGAATCACACAGTGGGGGTGAGTGAGGGGTCGGGGAGACACAGCCCTTGTCCTGGGGTCTGTGTTGTCGGTGCCCCCAGTTCTCACAGCACAGCTGTCACACGGCCCTGTGACGCGCCCTGTCTCTGCCCGGCCAGGCTCCCTCTGTGCTCCTGGACTTTTCATCCATTTATCCTTTTATTAAATTATTCTTCATGCAGTTAGATATAGTAGAGTGAGACATACACACACTCATGCAAATATCTATTTTCTACAAGTGGTGTAACAGCAACAGGTACTGAAAGGCTTATTCCTGCCTTCTCGGGGGGTGAAATACATGGGAGACCACAACCAACGTGGCAACATACGAGACGGAAGATACAGAGTTTTGGACAAATATCTGTAAATGTTGAAGTGGAGGAATAAGTGTGGTGTTTCTACATGAGGTATATATTTACCTGTAGATAAAAGATACATATTTACATACATTTTATTAAAATATGTTACATTGTATATATTACATCCAACACATAAGTACACATGTATCCATGAAACGCTGAAGTTACACGTCAACCTGTGCATCTGTATTACGCTCTGGACCCATGTGTAGACTGCATACGTGTGCGTGTCTCTATATGGGCAGACACGCAGGTGAGACAGGGAGGAAAGCAGTGCGTACACAGCTGGGCGGGTCAATTCCTTGAAATAAGCAGGTGGTAAGGAGGCAGGTCTCCAGAAAGGTCTCAGTCTGCTCTTCAATAAGGAACAGGCCACGCCTGTGGGCTTAGAGAGGGGGCAGAGGCGAAGGGGGCTGACATTCGGCACTGAGCGCATTTGAGACACAACAGGGTCTACAGGACACAGGAGGGAGGCCCCCGTCATCGCCTTTCTCTCTCTTTTTGCACAGATTTGTGTATTTATATCCGCAAGCATTGCCGAAAAGTTCTCAAAACAGGAGAGAGCAGTAAAAGTGCACGCACGGAGCAGAGCAGACAGGAGTGCACACACACGTGCTGTGCCGTCCCCCCCGCGCCCCCCCAGCGGCCCTGCCCGGGCCCTGCTGAGTCTCCGTGCACTCGGAGCTGCAGGAAGGCCCCCGGGCGAGCGCAGGAGGGCCGTGCAGAGCAGAGCCCGCACACGGGACGCTTCTCTATAGGCCGGTGTCCGGGGAGCTGGGACCCCAGAGGCTCGGGCTCTGAGATGGAGTCGTGGGCAGGGGGGCTGTGTCCCCCGTAGCCTCTGTGCTGGCCCCGTGGAGGCCACTCACCTGGCCCGGGGTGGGGGTCGGCCTGAGAGAGCCCAGCCTGGGGCTGCCGGGCGGGAAGCTGGGGGAGGGCCTGACCCCCGGCCTTAAACAAAGCGTATCTTTTGTAGCCAACATCAGAGCGACACTGGAAGGTCAGGCTCTGTCCAGAGATCACTAGAGATCCCTGTGGGGTGAGGAGGGAGGGCTTCCCAGACACACCTGGGGGAAAGACCAGCCTTGGATTGTAGGGGCTGGTCCCTCCCATAAAGCCTCTCCTCCCATCCTGGCCCCCAGGTCTCACTGTGTCTCACACTCTGTGTATCTTACCAGTGAGCCCCACAATGTGGCCTGACTCCACCCCTGCCTGTGGGGCTCCCCTGGGAGCAAAGAGCCCAATAAATAGCCTAGATCCTCAAAAAGTATAAGAGACCAGGATGGGACTTCCTCACCTGAGACCTGGAGCTCCAAGGGGTCACTGGGCTGTGACAGCAGGTAGGGGTCACTGCTGAGTGAGCTGTAGCACCTGTAGGTCCCCCAGTGGGCTGCGGTCACAGGACTCAGGGAGAATTTGGCCTGGTACTGCCCACCCTGGGACTTTGATCTAAGACGCAGCAGGGGATGGGCTGCCCCCTCCTTGGACAGAAGGAAGGTGTCTCTGGAGAGCCTTGACTGACACAGCAGGGTCACACTCTCTCCTGAGGCCACCGTGGGGCCCGGCTGCACCGAGAGGGAGGGGGTGTCACGCAGCCATCCTAGAGAGAGGTGGGTGGTGAGGGGTAGCCGACCCACCTGATTCTGAGCTGCGAGTGAGCAGGGCTTCTCTGAGGACCCTCATCTCCTTCCCATCCCCTGCCTCTCCCTGTCTCTCCCTCCCCTGGCCCCACCCCTTGATCCAGCATCACCACTGGGGCTCCCCCAGCAGGGCCTGTGCAGTGTCTGGGTCCCTCACTGACCTGCTGGCTCCTCACCTGACACCAGGATGTCCAGGGGGTCGCTGGGGGCCGACCACTCGGAGGAGAGGTTGTGTCCCCCATAGCATCTGTACCGGCCCCCATGGAGGCCGCTCACCAGGCCCAGGGGGAAGTCGGCCTGAGAGAGCCCAGCCTGGGGCTGCCAGCCAGGGCGCTGGGGGAGGTCCTGACCCCCCTCTTTGGACAGAGTGAATCTGTCATAGCCGATATCAGAGCGACACTGGAGGGTCAGGTTCTGTCCAGAGGTCACAACAAGGCCCTGTGGGGTGAGGAGGGAGGGCTTCCCAGACACTCCTGGGGGAAAGACCAGCCCTGGATTGTAGGGGCTGGTCCCTCCCATAAACCCTCTCCTCCCATCCCGGCCCCCAGGTCTCACTGTCTCTCACACTCTGTATCTCTGGTCCAGGAGCCCCCATCCCCCACCCTCTCACATGGTCTCTCCTCTGAGCAGGGACCCCAATAACCAGTCTGGAGCCTCCAAAGGAATATGGGGCCAGGATGGGACTTCCTCACCTGAGACCAGGAGCTCCAGGGGGTCGCTGGAGGCCGAGCACACCTGGGGATTCCTCCTGTAGCAGCCGTAGCATCTGAACGTCCACCTGGGGCTGGGGGGCACGGGGCCCACAGGGAACAGGGCCTGGGTCTGCCCGCTGGGCTGTGGCTGTGCGTCCAGGACCCCGGAGGGCTTGTCTTCCCCTTCCTTAGTCAGGATGAACCTGTCGTATCCCTGCCATGAGCCACACCGGAGGGTCACGTTCCCTCCTGAGGTCACCACGGGGCTCGGCAGGGCTGAGAGGCTGGGCTTGCTGTAGGCTCCTAGAGAGAAGGGGGCCGCTTGTTCAGTGGGGCTCACGGCTCCCTCACCTCCCCCAGGGCTGGGCGGTGAGAGGGGCACGGCCCTGGGAGCAGCCCCCCTTCCTGAGGGCAGAGCCTGAGGCTGGGACCCCTGAGTGTCCTCTCACCTGTCATCACCAGCTCCAGGGGGTCACTGCGCTCTGACCAGCCAGTGAGGCTGTGATAGTAACAGTGGTATCTCCCTGCGTGCTCCTCCGTCATGTGTGGGATGGAGAACTTGGCCTTGTGCCCGGGCTTCAGTGGAGGCTGTGTGTCCCAGGGGTTTTGGCTTCCCTCTTTATCCAGACGGAACCCCCGGGCCCCCAGGGTCCCCTGACACCAGATGGTCACGGGCCTCCACCAGGGGATCACAGAGCCTGGCTCAGCCCAGATGGTGGGTTTGGGGCGGGTCCCTGGAAGGAAATCAGAGGCTGGGGTCACAAGACATTCCCACCCCCATCCCCCAGCTCTCAGCCCCACAGCCCCCAGCCTCCCCCATCCTTCAGCCCAGAGCTGCTGTTCCCTACCCCCGTTGCCGGGGGAGGGGCTGGCCCGTCCCCACAATGAGGAGGGGGGAGCGGGGACACCTGGGCACAGACTCACCTGCCTGCACCTGGGTCCTCACGCCCACACTCAGCCCTGGAAGAGAGGTCCCTGTAAGAGAGTCGCCCTGAACCTTGAGCAGAACCTCCCCTCCCCCGAGTGTCCTGAGCCCCGGGGTCTCCTGACAGAGCAGGCCTGGCTGTGGGAGGGTCCCTCCAGGGTCCCTCCCCGACGAGGACCGCCCTCCCCTCCTCAATCTCACCGAGACAGAGCAGGGCCGTGAGGGTGGGGGTCATGGCGCCTCCTCCCTGTGGTGCAGGCTGTGCAGATGGAGGAGACACGGTGCCCTCAGCACAGAGACCCACAGGGTGTGTCCGCTCAGAGGCTGGTCCTCCCCGTCACGGGGCTGTCACGTCAGCAGCCCCACGGGAAGGGGAACTACCCCTTCCTGAGAGCCTGGCTCTCGTTTCTGTGACAGATCAGCAAAGAGACCCGGTGTATTCCTGAGGTGCCCCTTGCAGGTGAGGGTGCCCAGGCCACGCCCTTCCCTCTCAGAGCCTCCGTGTGGGGCCTCCTTGGTCCTCAGCCGTCCATCAGCACAGCCCTGCGGGGTCCTCACCATGGACCCGGGTCACCTTCACATCTTCAGGGCAGATGCAGGTTCCTGCTGGTCTGCAGAGCTCAGATCAGCAGAGGCGCACGTCGAACGTCTGACTACAGCTCGGTGGAGGTCAAGGGGGCAGTGAGCACAGAGGAGAAGCACCGGGAAATAAGGGCAGGAACCACGACTCCTCTCCTGGCCCCGGAGTGTGGGTGTATTTCCGTCGCTGCCCCCATCTCTACTTCTCTTTTTCTTGCAACAGCGTCCACCCCACCTCCTGGGAACTAGTCACTGAGTCCTCCCTGCCTCCTCGGTGCCCCTTGTTGCTCGGGCAGAATGTCCTCCTCATCCTCTGG